CATTATCTCTATCCATAACAAAACCTTTTTCATCAACTATCTATCTCACACAAACAGGAAGCAAGTTCAAATCTATGTAGCCCATTATGAAAAATAAAAGCAAAGTTATTGCAAAATGGAAGTTAATGAAAGCACCCATTAATGCTTCCTTTTGTCTGAGTGAGAGTGAGGAATTTCTAATGAAACTTGTTCCCACTGGTCTTGATAAAGAGGCATGATAAAGGTTCACTGATCGACAATTAAGTTGTATTTCTCTGCCACAGCAGAGATAAATTTGAGAGGATTTAAAATGTAGTTTTAGCTTGAAAGCATTACAGCAAAAACAAATATGTTGGATAACACTGGCTTAATAGTGTAGAGTTCTAAAATGCATCAACAAATAACTACCAGTGTCTGTATGTGTGTGTGCATTTGTGTGTTACAGCACCTTGTAGGGGAATAAGAGCATCACATGAGAGCAGGTGTCATTCCTTTCCCAGTCCCCAAATTAGGTCAGTATATTTTAGACTGTAGTTAAACCATTTCTCAAAGAAAGCCTTTTATTCAGGACGAACTCAAACCAAAACAAAAAACAAAAGACTGCAATGCTGAAGTGGAAAGCTAATACAAGAAAATTTAATTACAAATACAGTACATCACAAAGAAAAAATAAAAAATAAATAAATAAATATATATATATATATATATATATATATATATATACAGTATATTATTTTGGGTATTTTTGCCTTTATTGGATTGGACAGCTGAAGATTGAGAGGAAAGGAGAAGAGAGGGGATGTAATGCAGCAAAGGGCCACAGAGCCCATGGTCGCTGCAGCAAGGACTCAGCTGTGGTAAATGGGGCACCAGCTCTACCAGGTGAGCTATCAAGGCGCCCTGTGGCTGATTTTTCTAATCAATATTGCTATTGAGATTTAAAACTGGCCTGCACTGTCTTTATAACCTACAGAAGCAACAGTCACAACTGTACTTTTTCAGTTTAACTGTACGTTTATACAGCTTGTTACGACATCTTTAATAAAGTCACGACGACTGCGATTTGAAAATTGCACTTCCTTTCTTCTTGCCTGCTTAATTGTCATCAGGTTGGAATGATTCACCTGCACCCTAAGTGAGGGGCAGCACCATTCAGCACTATATGGCAGGAGACTGCTACTCGGATGTACGTTTCCTACCTCTTTTCCTACCGATTGAGTTTCCCAGTGATTGTAAGGTCTGCAATCTTAGTTTTCCTGTCCTGCACGTTCATAGCATGTGTCATTCAAACTTCAAACTTCAAACAGGTTAGGGAAGTTCAAAGTGCTTTATAGATTACTGACGTGATATGTGAACCATAACAGAGAGAAAAAAAAATTAGATAAGATACATTACAATACAAAAATAAAAATTACAATTAAATACAATAGAATATATATAGGTAAAACAATAAATAGTATTATTGAAAAGGCTAAAGGTTTTAATCCTGTACTTTGGAACTACTAATAAACTCGTGCCAGAGGATCTGAAGGGTCACACCAGTTGATGACCATAAAGCGCTTTAAAAACAAGTAAAATAATCAAATCAAAATGACAGGCAGCCAATGTAAAGACTTTAAAACCAATGTAATTTTCTCCCTGTGGTTCTGGTAAGCACCTGGGCTGCAGTACACTTCAGAGTTGTGAATCAGCTGCAGCTGATTTATGACTTTTATAACTTTTTTGGGTAAATCAGATAGGAGCGCATTACAGTAATCCAGCCTGCTCAAGATAAAAGCATGCTTTCAATTCTCTGTATCACTCAGAAAGAGAAATGGCCACAATTTAGCAATATTTTTTAGTTGGTATAAAGCAGATTCAGTGACAAATTTGAAGACCCCACCAAGGTTTTTATTTGTTTGCTTGGGGTCCAAGTCCAAGGGAAATTATTTTGTAACCAATTTCTCTCTCTGAACTTTACAACCTAAAACTAAAATTTTATTTTTTTCTCCTCAAAAATCCATCTATACATTCATATCCAAAATACATTTTAAAAAGGGAAACAATTGTCCCAAGTGTCATCAGAAGACAAGGCCACATAAAGTTGTGTGTCATCAGCATAACAATTGAAAGTGATGCCACATCTCCTGACATAACCGAGGGGTAATATAAGCCACCGCGCCCAGTAGCTTCAGCTAGGAGGTGAGCAGCGAGTTCAAATGTCAAGAAAAGAAAAGAAAAGCTTTTTTCTGCATTAAACAGAAAAATACAGCCACACACGTTCATAATTAAAGTTTCTCTCAAAGTAAGACCTTGTTAACTCATCTTTAAACACACTTCATTCAAAATAAAATGTAGAATTTTATGTAGGTGGTATACACGTGGAAAACCCAGTGAAAAACAGGACTTCATAGCCAAGTTTGAAATTGAAATACAGGCTACTAGTCATACAAATCTACTGTACATATCATAATCTTCTACGGCACATCACAGATATTCTTTATACTTACTAACGACTACTAGTCAACTAGGAAATTCATTAGTCTGGGACAGCACTACTGTTTTTCCATTAATAATATAAGCTGGTGTGTACTTTCATTTCTTTTTTGGAGTTAATTTAAATTTGCGGATCAATTTATATGGCCCTATTTACAGTTCAGATGCATTAACTTTCTTTTCAGTGTTTTGGTTGTTTATTTGGAAGATTTATTTCTTTTTACAGTTCCCTCATTATATGTTCCTATATTTATAAGTAGGTTTCATGTTTTGTTTATATTTGTTTTTGTTTTCCCTTTTAGAAATTGGTTGTGTGTGTGTGCGTGCATGTGTCTATTTTCTAGTCACAGTTGACCAATTGTGGCGCAATTTATCTGGCCTGGTGTACAGTGTGGTGATGCAGTGGCAACACATAAGTGGCCTCTGTGTTAACTGCTTAACATCGCTTGCTTTTTGGGCCAAGGCGGGTGGCAGGCTGATCCTGCGGTGGTGATGTTCCTTCACTGATCCTCTACTGTAGAGCACTTAGGGTGTCACTTAGATGGTGTGGAGTGTTCATGTGAGGTGTTTTAGCATCAGAACCCTTCCCCCAGAGCTATTCCTCTCTGCTATGGTAAGCTCTCAGCCCTGCTCCTTGCGTCCTTCTGCTTTTAATTAGCAAACTAATGGGCCGATGGAGAATTGTGTAATATCTGACTCCCCACTAACTTGTTGCAGTGTTATTTTGTATTTTAAAGTTTTTGGCTACATGTCTGTCATTTTAAGAGATTATTAATAAAATTAATATATTTTTGGATCGGGTCCAGTGTTTTAGAGCCTTTGTGACCTTTTTGGTTACATTTTCTAAGAATTTCCTTGGGGTGAAATTCCCCTTGATGGCGTTGTCAACACTGCTCAAACTAACTTCTGCCTCACACTCAAATTGTGACTTAAATATAAAAATTAATTGTTAAAAACCCTAGTCTCCAGCATGGACTGGCAACCTGTTCAGTGTGTTTATTATTGCAATACGGAACAGACTCCATCCTCCACTCCAAGTTACAAGCATTACACATCAATAGATGAATAAATGAACATGAAAGAGCTGTGGGGGATGGCAGGGAGACATAAAGAGGTCAAAGTGCTTTGAGACAGTGGGTGGTTACCACAAGCTCTAATACTGTTAGTGTTTTTTATTCGGACTGGCAGGCAATGTCAATATAAAATGTATGTTTGTTTATGTTGGTATTTTATTTAACAGGTTTTGATGATTAATATTACATGAAAGCCATGACAGTGTGACAGTGAGCCAGCATGGCCAATATCAGGAGCCTGAAACTGAAGCAACAAAATGTAATTTGGCTGTCATTAGTTTTATTATTTACACCTGCGTCATTCCTATACTATGTCAAAATGTCAACACGTCAACACGCAGTTTACACCGCAAAGTGCTTTACTTAAGGGAACCACCAACACAACTATTGATGAGGCATTCATGGAGAGATCAAGAGATCTGCTGAGATGCTGACCAATTTGTGTCGAATGTAAAGAAAATTCTAATTCTACTTTGGATCACAAGCCAGTGGTGATCCACAATCAAGGTGTAGCTCAGGTCAACTCATACTCGTAAAGTATCTGGGTGTATATATTGTCAACACCTTCTTCCGCACACAAATGTAAACATGGCGAAACAAAGAGGAATGATGTTGGCGTTACTTGGTGGAAATCTTTCTTATTTAGGCTTTTCCGAACTCAAGACAAGCCATACAGCTTCCATTCTTTGTTTACATTCTTGTTCCTTGAAGTTGGGCCCTATGATTGGTCGAGGACCAACATATACTCCGTCATGTCTCTCAGCCAAATTATGGCAAGAATTTGTGACTCTATAATTGCCTAATCTGACAAACTGACCATCGTAACAGACAAAAATATTGTGTAGTCTTAATCCGGCATTATTTTCCATACCTCTGTATATCACATAGAAAATACAAAAAGGGTCTAACTAGCTCCATTACTATTTTTTAAAGAGGCTTTTTGTAATCTTTTGACATTTTGTATTTGATTAGCTTCACTAACTGTATATACTGACCTGCTGAGTACAAGTCTAAGTGGCTTTAATTAACACTTCAAAATTTCACTTCCAGGTCTCTCTCTCAGCAAGGCTTTCGTCTTTGCAGTGGGTGCACAGGCCAAAAAAAGTTGAATACAAAAAGCATTTTAATAGAAACTATGCTCAAGCTGGAATGGTCTACACTCAAAAAAGTGAACTCTGTGAGTTGTTGAATTAAATAAATGATCCTATATTACATTTAATTAACATTTCTGTGTTTGGTTTTAAAACCAAGTCCACTTTAATAAGTTTAACTTAAAATGAAAACTTCTCAAAGCAAAAGAAACCAGCTAAGTAAATTCAACATAACACTGTTGAGTGAATTGCACAATCAAACTAAGAATGCTCTAGATGGCTTTCTGCACATGCTCAGAAGCTGATTCCACAAACTCCACTGTTGCTGTGTGCAAATTGGCGGGCGAATGTGTTCTCGGTCAAGATCTTACCCTGCTTTCATCAAATGACATCTATCTCTGTCTGAGTAAGTATATTTTTTGATGTTGGAACATTTGTGGATGGTTAGAGAGTGATATTGGTGGTGCTACTTTACTTGTCTTGCGAAAATCTAGCATATATGAGCACATTTTAGCTCATGCTAGCTCGCTAACAAGCTAGCCAATTAACAAAATGCCATATGACAGAAATACATTAAAATAACAATTTAACTCTGGAATTCTAGTTTAGCATCTCACCAAATGCAACGTTACATTGGTTTAGTTTTAATGGCATTTTTTTTTTTTTTTTGTTAACAATTCATTGTATGGGCAGCAGAGCTCCTGGTAGCAAGGTAGGGTGACCTTAAAAATTGTGTTGGTGGTTTACAAGTTTGGGACCATAAGTTTTTTTAACAGCTTAGTTAAAAACAGTGTCATTAGCTTGTATTTAAGCTGCAGGCCAGCAGCTAATGGTAAGCTAGTTAAGTGACTTTTTTTTTTTTATGCTAGCGAGTGAGTGAGTGGGCGACCAAGAGTGAGGGAGCTCCGTCAGGACAGACTGCGCTGATCACTCAGAACTGAGTCAGCATTTGCAAAGGAATATAGCTCTGTGTGTAAGTATATTATGGGCCAAATTTTGTGATAAAATAAACTATGCAGTCACAGTGCCTTTGAGGAAAACAGAGTTTGAAAAATACGTCAGATGTTGCTGTATGTTGTGACAGAAAAGTGACTTTTGGACCGTTGTTTAGCCTTAGCCTGAATGATAATACAAAGGAAATTTTAAACTAGTATGATTAGTTTTCCACCACTACGTAACTGTTGCTGCCTGCTTCAGAATTGGGGCAGACGCACAATAACGGTCTACTGGTTACCATTCTGCTTCTTTAGCCTTATGTTCTCACTACAGCTGTTTTGACACTACTGAACTACATAGCTGTTAAATGATTGGCTGTTTGCCTGTCTCTCATATCATTCAGGGATATGATAGGCTGTTTGAATGAGCAAGGCAGGGAGCACACGTCGGACTGTCAGATGATTGTACTGCAGGAGTTTTAAAAACATTACTCATGTAATATATTCCCAAATATTTTAGAAGAACATTAATTTCTCCATGTATATGTTTATGAATACAAAAGGCTCTTCTGTATCATTAATAATACATAACTAAATGTGGATGATAGAGTCCTGGAAAATGCATGAAAATATTGATAATATTACTAATGAATAGCCAATTATATATAAAACAAAGAATGCTTTCTTTACCACACCCAGAGTTGGTTATGTGTTGAATGATATATCACTTTCAGGTTTCAGTGCTATCCCAACTGTAAAACTAAACATGTGTTTGCTCTCAATATGTTCAAGTTATAACTGTTTGCTTATCATAAGTCTAACTGATATTAAATAGACTGTATTTATATTTTACAGGTCTTCCATACATTTGTGAGCTTGAGGACTGGACAGTCTGCATTTGTTTGTGGCTCTTCAGTAGTGGTAAGTACAGTTACAAAGTAATACATCCAGACTTAACCTTTAAGTATCCACAGATGTTCAAATCTAATACTGTATATGGGATAGTAATTATTTTTTTTTTTTGGTTGTGTTTCATTTCCAGCATTATGAATGTGGAAGTGTAAAGAGTGTGCTGCAGAGGAAACGACAAGGTATCAGTTATTGAAGCACTATAGGTTAAAACATGGCCACTTTGGCCGCAAACACCCTTATCCATGCACATATTCAAATTGCCTGTGCAGATTTAAAACTTGGAATGCACTGCGAAGTCACCTGTGTAGATCACATTTTGATCAGACCTCTCAAATATCAGTAGATTGCACAACATTCAACTGCCACCATTGTTCAAATAGCCACATTGCTTCATTGAAAGAATTTTTAACTCATGTTAATAGCCATCTAAAAAAACACGAAACTATATGTTGCATTTTTGAGAATTGTTCCTTTCAAACAAATATTTACGGAACATATCAAACCCACAAGAACAGAAAACACAGGACATATACACTGAAGGATTTAAAAGCTGGAATTGTGAAAAATGCCACAGCAGATTCATTAAATTGTTCTTTTGGAGGAGCATGTCTGACAGATAGTAATGAGTCACTTGACAATGCTGAACTTGAAGATAATGAACTGATCCCAGAACCTGAGGATGTGCCAAAAGTTATAGAAGAGAAATTGGCATCTGTCTTATTAAAGTTGGAGAATTGTTTCCATGTACCAGCCTCAGCTGTTGATGAGCTGTTAAATGAGTTGCATTATTTAGTTAATTCTGCCCTGGTGCCTGTAGCTAACAACATTCTTGCTGACTTCTTTAGTAACCGTAATTTGCAGGTTGACCAATTACTCATCAAAGAGTTAAAGTGCACACTTTCTTCATCTAACCCTTTGTCAAAAGCTTTAGGAAAGGAAGGGCCGTTAGCCACTGCATTTAAGCGGAAGCAATATTATAGAAATCATTTTAATATTGTTGATCCAGTTGAGTTTATACTTGATGCAAAGGCTAATAGAAGTTTTCAGTATGTCCCTTTGCTAAAGGTTTTACAGCAGCTACTTAATCAAAAGGATGTGCTTAGCAAGGTTATCGAAAAGAGAAGACTCCAACAGAGAGTGAGTGACCAGCAGCATTACAGATTCTTTGAAGATGGCCAGCACTTTAAGAATAATGTATTTCTGTCAGGAGAGGAACTAAGAATCTCTCTCTGTTTATACATAGATGATTTCGAAGTTTGCAACCCCCTCGGTACATCACGGAAAACACACAAACTGTGTGCTGTCTATTGGATTTTGGGAAATTTGCCCCCTGGCAGCCATTCCTCTTTGGCCTCAATAAACCTGGCTCTCCTATGTAAATCTGATGATGTAAAGATCTTTGGCTATCACAGAATATTTGAGCCACTACTCCAAGATCTTGTTACCCTAGAGCAACAGGGTGTTTTTGTCTCACATCTGGGTACATTTGTGAAGGGGACACTTCAGAGTGTGGTAGCAGACAACCTTGCAGCACATGGAATAGCTGGGTTTGTGGAAAGTTTCTCTGGCCAGTATTTTTGTAGATTTTGCACGGCTCAGCGGGAAGAAACTCAAGTCAAAGAAGTAAAATCAGGTGCATTTACCCTCAGAAACAAAGAACTTCAACAGTTACATGTTAAGACTGCACAGGCAAAAGGAGGTACTTTTTTTGGTGTGAAGAAAGCTTGTATTTTCACAGAGAGACTTTCCCACTTCTCTGTCACATCAGGGTATCCCCCTGATGTTGTCCATGATCTTTTTGAGGGCATAGTCCCTGTTGAGCTTGCACAGTGCTTGGGGCTTCTCATTTCCAAGAAGTTATTTTCACTTGTTGACCTTAATAATCACATTAAAAACTTTCAATACAGGTGGGGTGACAAAAAAAATCGCCCTCACTTGTTGCCACATAATTTTGCATGTCGCAAAACAATTGGTGGTAATGCACACGAGAATTGGTGTTTGTTAAGATTGTTACCATTTATGATTGGTCATTTGATCCCTGAAGATGAGCCAGCCTGGAAAGTGATTTTAGACTTAAAAGATATTGTCGAGCTGGTGGTTGCACCTTTCCACTGTGATGAGTCTGTGGCATATTTAGAGTATAAAATCTCAGAGCACAGACAGCGATACCAGGAGGTATTTCCAGGTCACAGACTCCTACCAAAACATCACTTTCTGGAGCATTACCCAGAAATGATAAAGCTGTTTGGCCCCATTGTAATGTTTTGGACAATGCGTTTTGAGGCCAAACACAGTTTTTTCAAACAGGTTGTCAGACACACAAAGTGTTTCAAGAACATCACACTGTCTTTGGCAAATAAGCACCAGCTGATGATTGGCCATCACATATATACAGGGAGTTATGCAAGATCAGCCTTTGATGTGACACATGTCTCGTCAATTCCTGTAGATGTCATGAAAGAGGATGTGGCGCTTCATCTATGTCAAAAATACCCTGATCTCACAACAGTTACTCTAGCACAGAGTGTCTCTACCAATGGCATACAATATAGAAATGGAATGATTATTGTGCATGGATCAGTTGGTGGATTGCCTGAATTTGTGGAGATACTTCAAATGTGTATATTGGAAAACACATTGATCTTCATATGCAGAAAATTGGCATCATGGTACAGAGAGCACTACAGCGCTTTTGAGATACAAGCATCCTCAGCAACAGAGATTGTGTTGGCTGAATTAAGTGAACTGATTGACGACTATCCCCTGGTTGACTACAAGTGTGGAACCCGCCGAATGGTAACCCTTAAAAGATACATACACGTGTCTGGTAATTATTCTTGATTATTATTTGATGTTGACCGTTTTTATGGGAATACAGGTTAAAATGATACACAAAATAACTCTTCAAAGACAGCTATTTTTACACAGGAACATGAGTGCCTCTTAATGTGTCAGAAGTAGATAAAGGCTTTTTGTGGCTTCAGGAGGAGGTTATTTGAGCCAGAATGAACACTACAATGACACTACACTGCACTATCATAAAATAATGTTGACGACGACTTTGTAAATTTATATAAAATCAAGATTCACAATAAACAGTAAGCTAATTTAGAAGCAAGTGTCTGACTTTTGTGCGTCATTCTGAGGGATACCTTCTTTACACTATCCCTATGCTTTTAATCCCCATGATAGTCATACTGATGATGAATGAATGCTGTCTGCTCAGACTTCTATTACATATGGTTTTAATAATTTTTTTCTGCTTTTTCTTCAGAATAACCTGTCAAGCAATATGGCTACACCGGCAGTGCTTCGCATCATCCTTGGACAAAATGACTCTTCCAAAATAAGCCTGCCTTCAGGAATACCAGATTCTGTTGAGGAACTAAAAAGTGAGATAAAGAGACAATGTGAGGTGGCAGGAGACTTCAGACTGCAATACAAGGACAGTGACTTTGATGAGTTCATAAACCTGAAGTCCACCTCAGACATTCAAAACAAAGCTACTCTCAAACTGATTTACCTCCCAAGTGCTTCGTCTCTAACTAGCCCCTGCCTGTCTTCAGTGGAACCCAGTCTGGATGAGACTGCTTCCATTTCATCTGTGGACACTGACATTCTCTCATCCTCTAGCTCATCATCATCGTCCCTCAGATGTGAGCCATGGCCAGATGTCTTTCCTGTGCCTGAGTTCGTCTATGATGTCGAGCTCCAACTCCAGCGTGCTAATACTGACTTTCAAAATAATGGTATCCTCTTCAGTCCAAGTCCAAGAATGAAGTCAGACATTCTTGAAAGTTTGGCATCCCAGATAATCAAATATAAAGCTTATCCGTGCAATGCTGAATTTGATGCAGTAGCTGAAGCACTCGTGAAGAAACACCCATGTTTAAAGGAGCAAGGTTCTGTTTCTGGCTTTTATGGGTGGAAAATAAGCTTGAAATATAAAATGGCAAACTACCGCACAAAACTGCGCAATATCGGATGTTCCGAGCTGAATGTGAATTCCTTCAAGCGTAAACAAGGTGATCCACGCACATCTCCAAATCAAGTGAAGAAAGCTAGAAGAGCAGAAGTGAACTACTGTCCAGATTATCCAACAGGACAATCCCAAGAGAGCCTTGAGGAAGAGAGACTGGCATTATTGTCCGAAGTAAGAAAGAGCAACAACCAACAGGTGGTTAAGGAGAAAATGGAGAAGACATTTGCTTACAGGCGGCATGAAGTGATTGAAGAAAAGCCTTTCATTGCTGAATTCAAAAGAAGGTGGCCAGCTCTTTTCTCTGAGCAGGAGGTCAGTCATAACTAAGTTTTTTACATTTTAGGGGGTGAAGGGATGACATTAAAAGGAATCTTCACTAGGGCTGCAACAACAGATTATTTTCATCAATTTGATCATAAAAATTATGTCTTCAAATGTCTGTTTACTCACAACACAGACACTCAGAGTAAGAGGGAAACTGGACAATTTTGGCATTTTTTTTGTCTGTAAAAAAATCTCAAGATTATTTGCTGCTCTAATCTTCACCCAAAGGTGAAAATTAGAATTATGAATTTATTAAATGCAAGGTGAACTGTCTTTATTCATGTGATGTAATTTTCCAGAAAAGCATTGTGTCAAATTTGTTGGACTGCAAGCATGTGGTGGTCATTGGAACTGGGTAACAGAATCATATCTGTGAAAATTATAACTTTTGGGAAAAATAACTAAGGGATATCCTTGTTGTTGTCCTATATTGCATTAATTTAATGATCCACACAATACCTGATCATGTGACAAAATTTTCATCTTAGGAAGTCACAATAACATTTCGTTAGTCCAGTAATTTGATTATTATTGCCTTTGAGCTGTATTGTGTTGATATTTTTATACTTTGTTAAATGTCTGTAGGTAGAAGCAGAGTTTACTCGCATCACCACTGTACCACTGAGATCGAAATTCATGCAACAGCTGGATCATCATTCTACACGGCTGATTACAATCTTCAAAAGAAAAGGAGGAGCAGCAGGGCGGAAAATAAGGACTATCATGGCAGACTTGGATAAGGTACTTTTTATTTAATTTATTTTTTATGATGAAGACGAACCAGCTGGCCACTGTAGGGCGGAAAATTAGTAGTCTTACCAGTTTGGCTGAGCAGTGATGATCTGTAGTGGTAATTGCTGCACAATGCAATACCAATATAACTACTCTTACACACTTCCCTTGTTCTCTGCTGTAGAATGATGCTGTTGAAACAAGAAGAGCCTGTGTACTGAAAGCACTAATGGTTTACCTCAATGAAGACCCTGAAAATCTCATAAGAGAGTACATGGTAAGTATTTTGGCCTTTGGTTTCTACTGTACTTTCTCTCCAGAAACTGAAAATGTGATTGTTATTTTAGAAGTTTTTGACAAGTCTATCACACAGACGAATAAGATATCATGCAGGCTTAGGGTACACACACAAAACTTCTTAGTAGGCAGTTCCTTAGTGTCTTGGATCCAAACATGACATTTATGGACAACAAGAAAAATGCATCAGATTGCCTGACATTCTAACAGACAGAAAGATTTGGGACATGCTTCCATAGTAAAATTCCCTCATTGAAATCACATTAAAAGCAGTTTGTGAACTACTGTCTTAAGGTATTATTGGAGGCTGGATGGATAATAAATGGTGTGTATATTGTAACTGAAGGTGTATTTGTTCTGTTTTTGAGGATGTTGAAGACAACCAGGAGGCTATGGACCAGACAGTCCTGGGAATCTTTGCCATAAAGATGGAAGGTGCAGAGTCTACAGATGGCCTGGCAGATGTTGGAATAATCATTGAAGGTGTGGAAGTGCTCCATGACCTTGATAACACTGCAAATGCAGTCGCCATTTTGTTTGGCCTCATGTACTCACTGGACCTGAGCTATCCAACAAACCTGAAGTACACATTTGAGGTTCTGCAAAAACTTGTGATGGAACTAGATGGCAACAAACTTTCAACAAAGGCTCAAGTGCTAAAGAACAAACTATTTGAAGGAACATTTTAGAGTGTAGTGCTCCTGAGCAGCACAGAGGAAACTTGGAGGACAAATTCCATCCCAAACCATCTGGCAGAAAACAGATTTTTGGATCTGCATGTTGAACTGTGAACTGTGAAGAGTGGATCAGATGCACTAAATGTTTAACAGAGTTGAGAAAATGTTTACAAAAAGAGACAATAACAAACTTGAAAAACACAAATGAGAAGTTTGAATTCACGTCAGCTGCAGAAGTGGAGATCAACAATGTGAAATGGAGAGTGATGGGTGAATATTGAAAGTTGTAGCAAGGAGGATGAGAGAATCAAATCGAAATCGTGTTTATGGTGCTGTGATCAAACGTTGACCAAGTTCCTGTTCATAAGATTTGGTACTGTCTGTTGAAAATGTACGTTGGACTACTTTTTTTATTTTTCCTTTTTTTCCCTTTGTGATTTAATTTTAGAAAACACTGCACTGATTTGTTTGTTTTTTTTACCCCTACAATGCTGAAGTGGCAGGGAGGAAAAGATAATTTTGAAGTATTTTTACTTGACATTTGTTCACCCTATTCATGTAGATGGTTCTACATGAATAGGATGGATCTTTAAAAAATCAGTATCTAATGTTTCATTGTACAGTGTTCAGTAATTGTGAGGGGAAAAAAGCCATGTTCATTCTGCCTGCTTCTTAAAGAATATAGCTTTAAGTTTTGGTTTGGTTTTGTAGGTCCTGTAAGAGATTTTTGTTTTCATTGGGCATTTTATACAAATTTAACTGTAAACAAAATTGAGTATTTTATAGCATAAAAAACATTTTAATATAAACATTTTTATTTAGAAATGGGGAAATAAAAATAAGCTATACATGTTGAAAAATGGTTTGTTTGATATGCAGGAGCAATTTTAAGGTATAACTCACGCAAATTCAAAGTTTGTGGTTTAAAATTTGTTTGTTTGTTTTGTTTGTGATTGTTGTAGTTTTCCATTGGCAATAAATAATATTTTTCACAGAACTAAGGTATTGTAATTTGAATTTACTTAACTACATTGTGTGGAAATTGTTGACATAACTAGGTTTAGTAAGTCCAACATTATTCACTAGCTTGATAACAATGAAAACTATGTAAGTACTGATTATTCAAGTCAGTTTAGTTGGAACTACAAGGGGTTGTTCAATTAGTGTTAGTCAATGCAGCTGAGTTACACATAAATTAGTGAGTTAGGTCAGTGTAATGAATGCCTGTTTAGTTAGCTGAACACTGCCTGATCAATTAAGGCTAACTTGACCAGATAATATTGAAGTTACTTAATACAGTCTTGTTGGTTTCACATAAGTTCATTATTTTCTCTGTAATTATAGTATTAAATTAGTTTGAACACAACACAGTTTTGTGGAAATTGTTGACATAACTATATTAAGTACATTGAACAAATTATTTTTTTGAGTGTACACAGAAAATGTTTGCTCATAATACAGTATTTTCAGGATAAAGATTGCTTTTCTATGTCTTTCCTAAATCTTCATAATACAACTCTTTGTTTTATTGCTATACAGCTCTCTATAAAGCACATTTGAAATAACATTTGCAACAGGAAATGAAGTGAGCTGAAAGAATCACCATTAATTCAATGTCCAGAGCACCTTGTTTTGTTGAAATTACTTTGAAATTCCCCAGAGCCCTTCATAATGACCTTTTACAGTTTCCATCAAAGCAAGGAATATTAAAACTGAAAAATGCCCTCTTAAATACATAATTCCAGGCAGTTCAAGCTATTTATCTTGGTATGTTAACTATTTCTGAAAATACACTTTATGCTGCACTCATTTCAGAGTTGTTAATTTAGTTAAAAGAATTGAGTCTCCCTATAATTGTTACCGATAAAGCCACAGGCTATCTCTCGGTGTCATCACAGATTAGGGATTTAACTCTCTTGTAACACCAACTGAACAGTCAACTAACATCTAGATGACATGTCAGTTCTGTTTCAGGGATACACTTTCTCTTAGAACAAATCAGTGAGTTTTATGTTAAAAGTCTATGATAAATAATTTAACTTAAAACTTTAAATTATCATTATTTCTTAATAGTATTTGTAGCTTGACTGCTGCAACATTTCCATGACATTACTGATATCAGCTCATTCACCAACATGATTACTTTTTCTTTTGTTATCTGAAGCAAGTTAGTCACAAAAACAGCAAATCTGTGCTTAGACATGATGTGCAGCTACATTTTTACATTCCACTGTATATTTTATTCAATAATGTCAAGCCATCAGTGGTCATGAGCATACACTATAACATGGTCTGACAAGACAAGGGAGCAAAATAGAGAAAAATAATAATCTGTAATCTTCTTAGTGTTTGTTTATTACTGCTGCAATGTATAAATATAAAAATCACAGGATGACAATGGATGTTCATTAAACAGTGATAATGATTTTTTAATCTCACTCGATTTGAATTTCTCCACAATGCTCCAAAATTACCCTGAACTAGCTGAGCAGAGGCAGCCAGGGTTTTACCTCTTATCATCCCAAATAGACTGAAAAACCATGTTCTTTCTATATAATTAGTTTCACAAAATTATAACACCCAGCTAATTAATATTTTCATGTCTGTCCACAGTAATAAAATGATGGATTTGATGAATTGCACTGCCCCTCTGCAAGACTCAGCTTAAATTACTATAAATATATGCAAAGAGAGGCAAATTGAAAATTCATGAATTTGCTTTTCATATACTTTCCTGGGAAAGAGACGGAAACCTACGAATTACTGGAAGTGCAAAATGTGATGCAATGTCCAAATATACCCTTCTCCAACTGAAAAACTGAAAATATTATAGGATCCTAGAAGATTTATGTCTCATTACTGAGCAAACTTGTTAATTAGTAGAATGTGTCATACCTTACTATATCCTACACCCCACATCTATGGTTTATCTTGGATGGCAAAACTCTGGGTTAATTGGTATTGATGAACTTCATGCATAAAAAAAAATATATATATATATATATATATATAGTAGCCATTGACTTTTGCGGTTTATTTATTCCTTTTTGCCTCTACATTTTATTCATATGTTTTCATTTAAAAAGATTCAGAATATCCATTTAGGAGGATCTATTGGCAGAAACTGGATATTGATAGTTAGGTTTGTATTAGTGTATAATTAAAAAAAAAAAGAAACGTTTTTGTTACCTTAGAATGAGTCATTTTTATTTACAGAGGTAGCGGGCCTGGAGGCCGCTATGTTTCAACAGCAGCCCAGAACAGACAAATCAAACACTGGGTCTAGACGGGGCCTTCTGTGAGTTTCACGGCCACTGTAGTTTCTCCGTCATGCTTGGAACGAGATGGTGAGATGAGGGGGTTGTAACTTTAACTACGCTGACAGCTTTAGTAATTTCTTGTGCTTTGTGAGGGGACTCATATGCATGATATAAGGTCCCACAGTCAGTAAACCTGCACCGTCATGTGTATGCAGCATCACTGACTTGCTGTCTAGAAAACTGGACAATCTCCACTATGACTGAAATGGCCGATTGGTACATTGGACACATCCAAACTCTCCAAAAGCAGATTCACTAAGAAATATTAATTTAATGTTTGACCTCTGAACTGTCCCATGCCACCACAAGCTGCCATAGAGGCATTTTATCAGATATCCAATTGCCTTCAGCACTTATTTTCCTCAAAGTTTAAATCAATTAAGGTCTCCTATGCTATGTGAAAAGTATGCTATTTCCTGTACGCCATTGCCATTTAAATGCTATGGCAATAACAGTCGCAAATGACTATCGGTAACAGGGCTGGATATTGTGGTATACATATTGGGCTAGAGATATGTATCTAGATATGTATGGAAATCAGTCAACAAAAAAAAATGTTGTTTGCTACAGTTTAGACCTTGCCTTTGGGTAAAATGCAACAACACATGAACATCTTTTCATTTCTGCCATGGTTCTAGTCACACAGTACGGATTCTTGATTCCCAAATAGAAATTATATGCACATTTCACAAAAGTATTTATATCTGAAGAAGGTGCCATGCACATAAAGATTGTGCCCAATTCACACACACTTCACAATACCAACTCTAAAAGATAAAAGCAACACAAAGTGAAAACCGGCATGAAGAGCTCGTCTATTTAGAATAAATGCTATGATTGCTGTGAAACTCAGGTATCCTCACCACCAAGACAGTCGAGAGAAGAGGGTTTTAGGGAGGGATTGAGTTGGCAGGTCTTACAACTGCAATACAGGTCATGCTGAAATTGGTATTTGTTTGCATATTATCCTCTTGAGATACATCTATTTTAAAGTAAAGCAATTTTGGCAAACTCAGTTTAAGGAACTGAAGTGCAAAAAAGGGAGTAACACTGATAATCCAAGAGGAACAAGAGGGTGACAGAACTGCAAAAATAACTGAAACTAAATTTATTTAAATTTGTGGACATTTTCTGTGATCAAACAATATCTTGTGAATTTCCATTTCTTATATTATTTGAAAATGGGTCAATATATACACAGTTAAACACTCCAACATTCAGCCAAAGTCAGAAAAAAGTCAAATAGCTCTACAATATAATAACTAAAGAACTGTACTTGTGTGGAAATATTATACTTGTACCTTCCTAGAGATGCCGTGGTACACTTTGGAGCATACTACCGGTGAGGGTAAATGTGACTGCCTCACACAATACTGTCAGACTATTCTCAGAAGTCATTAATATACGTACCGACACTTTCTCCCGATTCAATATTCAACAAAGACATCTCACAAAGCTTACAAATGTTTCTCAAGCTACTGGTTAGAAAACAATCAGCCATTCAGTCCAGTTGTTATCTTCATTCAACCCCAAACCCCACTGGGCCTTACTGTCCCTGATCACTGTGACCTGGTATGGCAAGGATGACTTTTTTCTTTTTTTATTTAAGAAAAATCTCAAAGTTATTCTCAAGAGAAACATCTCAGATGAACAGAGGGAGGTAATAATGTGTCAAAATCTCCAAAGGGGACTGGTTGATCCTGTCTAACCTTGAAAGTCCATGACAGTCTTGCTGTCTTCCAACAAACAGGTCTGTATATATGTCTACATATATTTAGTTATCTGTAAGATAAAAAATATATATCAAACAAACTCAGTTGGTGTATGTAGCCACTCAATGACCAAGGCTTTATAAAGAACTGAATGTTGAGTTTTTTATTCTCTACTTAACAGAGCTGATGACGCTTCTTGAGTGAGTGAGAATTCAACTGCTCAATTATACGCTCAAGTTGAAGCCCAAACGTCTTTAATGTTGTGTTATTTCTTTAATGTGACATTGAATTGAACTCCCTAGAGCCCACCACAGAAAAACCTTAATTTGACATTTTATACACCTTCATTACGGAAGACATTTTGACATGACACAGTAAGAAAAGCACAGGTGTAAATGATATAATTAACACCTTTGCTTTTCCTACTATGACAAGTCAAAAAGGCCTTTTCTGACACTGAGTCAAGGTGTATCTCAGAACTTTGAACTTATTCTTTACCTCACTGAAGCATATTATTTTTTTTGCTGCGGCAACAACAGAAATTTTGTTTTTAAATGTATAGCTTATTCTCTCTTAAATGCACTCCTCTCGTCCATCTGATAGTGTACATGTGATGGGTTATTCATTTAAAACAGCACCCCTAAATTGAAAAACTTGGTTATCAGCCATCTCGGTCCATCCCATCAAAGAGAGGCCATGTTTAAACAACAATATTCTTTTATGACCTTGTAAAGGTTTTTTTCCCCTCCTGTTTAAACTCTACTTTTATCATCAGTGGATTACAGTTCTCTAGAAAATAACCTCAGCATTGCTTATCGTGTTAATGAAAACATTATTTTGATTGTTATGCAGCGGGAGCTTGAACCTTTCTTGTTGTCAGGAAAACTAAAACATCTCTTTTAGAGAGAGAGATACTATGTTAACCAATGTTTAAAGTGCTTATTTATTATAACTTAAAACTTAAC